AGCAAAAAACGCATAAAAAGTGGAATAAAAAAAACAGGTAAAAACAGTAAAAACTATTAGAAAACACAGGATGCAAAAATTTTTCAAAATAATTTCGCAAGCTACGAAGCGCACAAAATCTTCTCATCCCCAATTTATTGAGGCGCGGCATAGAATAAATCCAAAAAAGAGCTACACCTGAAGCTTACCGGAACAAACCGTTTTGGCAGAAGCCTCGGGACTGGTATACATCACATATGAATTTCGATCAAGCACCTGGATATGTACAAGATAGTTACTTCCCTGCTGAAGACCTGTTAATAGCTGAGCATAACGTTTGTTGTCGCCCACATATGGTACTATCTGCCTGCAAAAAAAAATAAACTAGCTGTTTCTGTTTTTTCCTAAACTTCCAGATATGGGTATAATCCTTAGCACAATTTCTCTTGTACGAATTATGATCGTTATGAACAAGCTTACAAGGAGTGACCAGAGGGCCGTACGAGCGGGGGAGGGACTACCGTTACATCTTGCAATTGTTTTCTGAAGAACCTTGCGAAGAAAGAGAGGGAGGAGAGGAGAGATTAGCAGCAGATAATGCGAACTGAATTGCAGCAACTGCAGAAGCGCTGTTAACTACAGGCGGAAGAGAAGGTGCGCTTTGATGGTGTTTACTAGCGATCATTATGCTGAAGTAAGTTGATTACTGCTCCATAATTAAATAGTTAAATTACTACAAAAATGGCCAATCACTCCGGTGGTCTCTGAAGTGGTAGTGCACATACTTCGAACAGACGGTGGTGCTGTTTGAATGTATGCCGCTCAGGATCGAAGGTCTTGGCGCATCTGTGCTCGACATATTGAGGCATCCCAGTAGCATCACTAACATGAAATACCCAACCAACTGCCTAGGTGGTCTTGATATTCTTGACAAATTTATCAATTTATCCAGTTAGAGCTAGGTGGTAGTAAGAATCCATGCATTTATACAGTGATGTGAATCAGACAGCACGTTCTTACTTTATCAAATAGTTATTCATTAGTCATCTATTTTCATAAAATTTTGTTTGATTTTGTCACTCCCTTGCAATCGATCATTGTTATCATTTTTGAAATTAAATTTCGACTTCATATTCACTAATCCATTGACGACCCAATAAAATTCTTCGGAATTTTTTAAATCTATTAACGTCATACCCATAAGGAGTCCAACCAGTATTATCTGTTCTGTACTGGACACGGTATCCGAAAACACCACGACCGGTACCTTCACTGTTCCATTCTACATAAAGATCACCACCTCTCGTCGTTACCCTTGGTTCCGAAACCAATGCTGAAAATCACTGACGACTCGGATTAGCTGAAAATGAAAAGGTTTCTGTTTAATGAAACATACAGTACTAAAACTAGAACGAATCTACATAAACTAAAGTTCAGCAGATTATACTAATTGCTTCCTGCAGCTCAAAAAACCAGCAAATTACGTATACCATTGAAACATGCAAGTAGAGGACATATAAAACAAAAGCATAAAAACACATAGCCACAAATACGGATAATATTTGAAAATAGAGAATTCTTAAAGAAAAACTGAAAAACTCGAAATTCTAAAAAAAACTAGACATTTATTCGACTTCAAACTTTAATTAATTTAAAAAAATTGAATCTGCGAAAAATCGAACCGAAACAACTTTTAGTTTTCAAAAATTGAACAGACTGTATATTAAAACCAAAAATTTTCTAACTTTCAAAAATGTGTAAAACTGATGCTAAAAAAATTAGTGAAGCATGAGAGTAGCTTGGAATTTTTAGCCATCTGGAAGCAATTTTATATGCTCATCATGAAGATATACTTAATTCCTAAAAGTGTTTTGTTTATGATTTTTGAAGATTGAGAGTATGCTCTATCGGCATGCGTCGCTGCTGTGCCGGCCACTCCATAACTGTTTTATGTCATTTTGATACACCTGGTCTGGGCTATTTTATAGCATTTTGATAAGATTTTCAAAAAGGAGGTCGAAAATTTCAAAATCAAAAAATTTTTAGAATAATTTGAGGATAAATGCAATTTCACCAGAAGCTTTTGAGAAACACAGAAGGACAAAGAGTTAACCGTTTACAAAGAGGGGCAAGGTACAAACGGCACAGCACACGAAGCAAACCTTCGTCGGGATGACGTGGTACAGCAACATCGTCACTTTCACCCGGTGGACGACACCAGAAATCTGTACGTGGATCACAGATGCTACGTGGCACACGGACACGGACACCCTTTGAGACTGGAATGGGGACAATGGATGAGACAGGAAAAAAACAATGATCGTGGGAAAGACACCATAATCCAACATTCACTTAATACTTATGCATAAAATATTTTTATGATAGGAAACTGGTGCTCAAGAGAAAGCAAAAAATCCTTGCAGCTCAAAGTGAAAACAGACAGCTAAAGATTTTGGCACGAATAAGTAGGCAATGCTTGACAGATCATGAAAGTTCGCTCAAAGAACTCAGATATGCTGAAATAAGTCTGGTACTCCTCTATCATTCAAGACCAGACGTTGTACAGACGGATGTAAAAAAAAAAAAATTTTGGATTATTTGAATTATTATTATTGCTACTATTTTTAATGTTATTACCATTATTACTATTATTATTATTACTCTTAATGTTATTACCATTATTACTACTATTATTGCTATATTATTGCTACTATGAAACGATTATCATAATTATTATGACTATTATAAAAGTTATCATTATTATTAGCCATCACATGCACCCTCCTGCTTGAACCAAAAAGCTTTCTCTGATAACTTATGAATCACACGTGAATGTAAGCACACGAAAAGACGAAACGAACACCGAAAATCGCTAGCAATGACCACCAGTAAATGGTCAAAACAACAGGAGAAGTTACCAGCTGCATAGCTGGAAAACTAAGATATGAATTAACAACTGCCTCAATCATTCGAGTAAAGATATGTTCAAAATCTTTCGTAAGTATTTATGCCACGCAGACTTATTCATCTTTTTTCGAATTTTTCGCAGCAAATTTTTAAAACCCATATAAAATGGTACCGATGGGAACATTGTGCAAGTTGGCCGGTGAGCTACTGGGACCAGTACCAACACGATTTCCAGCTCGCATTTCCACATGCCATTCACCACCGATTGCATTCTGGAAAGTGAACTCCCGCAACTGTCCACTGACTCGCTCCGAAAACGGACCTCCGTTCTGATAACCAGTTATCAGAAAATACGGTTCGCATTCTGGGCTCTCCTGACCTGTCCATGTCCACGATAATCGAATTCCATCAGCAACAGGTTCCAAGCGTAGATTCTGTGGCACAACACTGGGCGCTGAAAGTAAACTATGAATACCTGCTTGATAGTTAACATTTAAAACGGCCACTGGCTCACTATTGGTGTTTGCACTGGTTGTTGTATAAACTATCGTAAGCATACTGTACAAGTTGAAAAAAGTTTATTATCGAAAATTGCCAATTTTAATTTACAAGTCGACTTATTCAGGAAAAAGATTAGCAAAAAGCTTTGCTTTGAAATTAAAGAACTGGGAATAAGTAGTCGCGCTCTGGTAAATTTCGAAACTTCCAACAGCTGCTGTTCAAAAATTGGCTCTCCAGCTACAATGATGGCAAACAAAATGGCAATTTTCCAGTTCCTTTGATCAGTGTTACAACTGTTTGCGATTAGCTGGCGACACCAAATGTATGTGTAGTGCTGTTGATCACAGGAATTCGAACATAGAGAAATTCATACCCTGACACTGAACGGTAAAACTGGTCACTTCGGATGTTGCAAGAACACGTCGAGAAGTGTCGGTAGCTGAAACACGCGCATAATAGTGCTTATGGGTTGCCAGACTTGGTAATTCCTGTCGAAAATGTATTTCAGATGGTGAATGCGGGACAAAACCACCATACTGCCGCCAGTCCCTCTCTGAATCCGACCGTAATTCAATCTGGAAAGGTGACAATTATGAAAGTTTTCATCGATTTTGTTTTGTAACAGATATACCTTATTTTTGGTGCAAAGTTCGTCAAGTTGCTAAGGTAATTAACCTCTTTTTTCAGTTCACTTTTTATGTGTTTTTTATGCGTTTTTGTATATATGCACATTTCAAAAACGCATATTGGGAAGCGGCTGTGTGTGTTTTCGCACTTTTTATCACCCACTTTCAACTCAAGAACCAGAAAAGCTAGAAGGCTGAAACTTTGGAAGCATGTGCCCATACCATGCGCAACCCTTCGGTCTTAATTTCATCCCCCGTGACGCCTGAGTCCCGCGTTCGGACGCTTTAAAAGAATATGCAAATTTTTTGGCGGAAAGGCGATCTCGGGAACACAAACTAAGGGGCTGAAACTTTATAGGGACATCCCCTGTGCATGTTCTAGCTAAAGATTTCAAATTCAGTCCCCAGGTATGCGCGGTATTCACGTAAGGGCGTGTGAAAGTTTTGGCAGGAAAACTGCTAAATCGAAAACCAGGAAAGCTGGAAGGCTGAAATTTTAGGGTGATATTTCCTGTCCTAATACAACTTAAGTATTTCAAAATTCAGCCTTGAGGTATGCGTGGTTCTTACGTATGGGCACTTAAAATTTTGGCTGAATTTCTGGCTGAATAACCAGGTTTCTTTTAAAGAATGATAGTTAAATGGAAATAGTACATTTGCTTCATGCAAAATTTATGTTGATTTACGCTAGTGACCGCAAAAGCAGGTGTAAAGCAACAACCACTCATCCAGTTAATGACCTGAATACTTCAAGTCCGGTGCAAAAACGCATGATCGCACGGACCCGCCCGATGCGCTCCAGCCTGAGCTTTCATTTAAAAATTCAACCTAGGCTGGAACGCACCAGGGCGAGCCGGAGCAATCATGCGTTTTTGCACAAAACTTGAATTAGGTTAACTGCATGAATGGTTGTTTCTTCACACCTACCTTATGTGCTTATTGCCGAAAATCATCGTAAATTTTGCATAAAAAGAAATAATCTATTTTCATTTTGCAGTGTTTTTTGAAAATAACACAAGTGTTCAATGAGTAATTTCCCCGTCAGAAATTTAATTGCCCCTACACGAGAATCACGCGTAAGTGAAGACTGAATTTGAAGATTTAAGTCTTATTTGGACGGGGAATATTCTCCAAAGTCTGAGCCTCC